ATCTCTCTGTGTGTGTGAATAATATATATAGAAAATAGGAAAGAACTCGTTAGGTAAATAATCCAAAGTTCTTTAGCATTTTTGTTAGTATTTTTAAAAAATAGTGTTCGATACAAAAGTAGAGCATAAATATAATTATTTATTAAAAATATGATACCAACACGCTACATAAGAGTTCTCATGTTTCAAAACAAGAGCCGAAAACTTCAGTATAATTATTTGAATTAAATTGAATTAAAGTACTAAGCTCAGTTCCATCTTCAAGCGAAAATTTTTTTTAATATATATATATATATATATATATATATATATATATATATATATATATATATATATATATATATCCTGATCATTACATTTTCATCATCAGGCTTTAATATTTTTCATTTCAAGTAACTTCCAAGACGAAAATAAATGTATTCCAGGCCGAAAGATTTTTTTTAAGAATCTGTTATTTATTAACGGTTACAAAATTTTACAGCATGCATTATCGCAACGCTAGAGTTTTATTTTAAATATTTCAAGTGAGAACATATTTTTAAATATATTAATGCTGTAAATCCACGATTTTTTTGGTTGTAAGTGTTTTTCAATTAACGTGACATAGGCAAAATGGTCGAATTATTAATGTAATGTCTTAGTTTTTCCAAAAATATTTTACCGTGGATCAGTTTTTATACATATATTAAATTGGTGCAGTATATATAATATTATAAAGGGGTAATCATACAAAGAAAAATATATAGAATTCCTAAAGAGCCCGAATCTATCTGCCGAAGTTTCACCTATCGGACCATCAGGATAATTCTGGCTAAAGAGGTTGGGCCCAAACGACATTTTATTGATATAATAGCCACCAGAAAGAATAAAAATTAGTATAAAAAAACAAATCCACAATCTATTTGACAAGTAATCAGACTATTTTTATACCTACAATCATTAAATATTTCAGATCTTTGGTTTAATGATTAATTTTGATTATTATAAGAAGCTATAGCTAATTTTTCCTCCATACATAGGAGGCAATATCTATCACCTCCCTTATATTTACGGCATTTTTTTTTACTATCTCCCACTTTAATATCTGATCTACATCTTGCTTCTTGTTAGTTTCCCACTATAGATAAACTAGTCCTGTGCCTGTATATTTCGTGTGCGAAAACTACTTCTATGGTTGTAATATCTTTTTTTGAAAGCTATTTGGGTAGAACCCATGTGTACGTTTTTAACAATTACTACGGGAGAGATTGAAAAAGAGAGAGAAATAACGTGAAGGATTGAGAGAAATAAAAGGAGAAAAAAGAAGGGAAAAGAGAAAAAGACTGCGAGAGAGAGAGAGAGAGAGAGAGAGAGAGAGAAATAAAGAGACAATTACAGAGAAAGAAAGTGAGAACAAAGAGACCGAGAAAGAAGCGGTAACTAAGATGAAGAGAATGAAAAGGAGAGAGGAACAGAGGAAAAGATAAAGAGAAATAAAAGGAGAAAGAAAGTAGAGGGGAAAAGAGAAGCGACTGAAAAGGGGGAAAATAAAGAGACAATTACAGAGGAACGAGGAGAGAAAAGAGAGAACGATAAAGAGAGAGAGAGAGAGAGAGAGAGAAAGAAAGAAAGAAGGAAAGAAAGAAAGAAAGAAAGAAAGAGAAAGTTACTGTTAATAAGACGAAGAGAATGAAAAGGAAAGAGAGACAAAGAAACTATAAGCAAGTTGAAGAGAATCAAAACGAGAGAGAAATAGCATGAAAGAGTGAGAATTGACGAAATAAAAAGAGAAAAAAAGGGAAAAGAGAAAGAGACTGAAAGAGAGTAAAATAAAGAGACATGAGGAAGAAGGAGAGAAAAAGAGAGCAATAAATAAAAAGAGAGAGAGAAAGAGAGAGAAAGGAACTCTCAACAAGACGGACAGAATGAAAAGGAGAGAGAAAGAGATTAAAAATAGTGAGAAATAAAAGGAGAAAGAAGAATGGAAAAGAGAGAGTGACTGAAAGAGAGAAAATATAGAGACAATTACAGAGAATGCATGAGAGAAAAGAGAGAAAGATATACAGAGATAAAGAAACTGTGAACAAGACGAAGAGATTGAAAAAGAGAGAGAAAGAGAGTAAAAGAGAGAAATAATAAAAGAAAGAAGGGAAAAGAGAAAGTGACTGAAAGAGAGAAAAAAATAAAGAGGCAATTACAGAGAACGAAAGAGAGAAGAGAGAGAGAGAGAGAGAGAGAGAGAGAGAAAGAAACTGTCAACAGGACGAAGAGATAGAAAAGGATAAAGAAATAGAGTAAAAGATAGAGAGAAATAATAAAATAAAGGGAAAAGCGAAAGTGACTGAAAGAGAGAAAAAATAATGAGACAATTGCAGAGAATGAAAGAGAAAAGAGAGAGAGAGAGAGAGAAACTGTCAACAAGACGAAGAGAATGAAAAAGCGAGAGAAATAGAGTAAAAGATAGAGATAAATAATAAAAGAAAGAAGGGAAAAGAGAAAGTGATTGAAAGAGAGAAAAAATAAAGAGACAATTACAGAGAATGAAAGAGAGAAGAGAGAGAGAGAAAGAGAGAGAGAGAGAAACTGTCAACAAGACGAAGAGAGTGAAAAAGAGAGAGAAATATATTAAAAGACAGAGAGAAATAATAAAAGAGAGAAGAGAAAAGAGAAAGTGACTGAAAGGGAAAAAATAAAGAGACAATTACAGTGAATGAAAGAGAGAGTGTGAGAGAGAGAGTGTGTGTGTGAGAGAGAGAAAGAAACAGTCAAAGACGAAGAGACTGAAAAGGAGAGAAATATAGTAAAAGACGAAAAGGAAAAGAGAAAGTGAAAAGAGAGAAAAAAATAGAGAAGAATGAAAGAGAGAAAGAAAGAGAGAGAGAGAAATAATAAAAAGACGAAGAGATTAAAAAAGGAGAGAAAAGAGAGTAAAAGATAGATTAAAAGAAAGAAGGGAAAAATAAAGAGAGAAAAAATAAAGAGACAATTACCGAGAATGAAAGAGAGAAAAGAGAGAATTAACGAGAGACAGATTGAGAGAGAAAAAACAAATACAGATTTTAAAATTAGAAGCCGAGGAAATTCGAACGATCCTATAGGTGTCTGATTACGAGCGAAAACCAACGAATAAACTTCCCCACCCCCCGCCCCGTATACTCTTCGGATTGCAGGTTTTATTCGCTATTAATAAAGAGATTTAATGAAGAAGGCCCCTTTATTAAAAGGAAGGCAATCTAAAAACAAAAGTATTTTATCAAAGAACTCTTGTTAGCAGTCAGTTTCCATTATTTGGTCACTGGGTTTCTTCTCAATTGACGTCACATTCACAGAGGCAGAAATAATTTTCCGGAAACGAAACACGACACGGAATGAACATGAAGGAGACGCATTCATCCGAAGTGAAACTTACTTTTCCAGACCCCAGGACATGTCAGTTAATGCTTAATAGACTTGTAGCCTGCTACCCTACTGAGCCATCGAGTGTTGAGTCAAGATAACGCTTATTTCAAATCGCATCAACAACTTCTTCTTCTTCTTCTTCTTCTTCTTCTTCTTCTTCTTCTCTCAAACCACCTTCTTCTTCTTCTTCTTCTCTTTTGTTCTCCTTCTCCTCCTCCTCTTCTTCATCATCATCATCATTATCTTCTTCTTCTTCTTCTTCTTCTTCTTCTTCTTCTCTCAAACCACCTTCTTCTTCTTCTTCTTCTTCTCTTTTTGTTCTCCTTCTCCTCCTCCTCTTCTTCATCATCATCATCATTATCTTCTTCTTCTTCTTCTTCTCCTCATCATCATCATCATCGTTATTATCATCTTCTTCTATTTCTTCTCTTTTTGTTCTCCTTCTCCTCCTTTTCCTCCTTCTCATTATCATCATCATCATCATCATCATCATCTTCTTCTTCTTCTTCTTCTTCTTCTTCTTCTTCTTCATCATCATCATCATCATTATCTTTTCTTCTTCTTCTTCTTCTTCTTCTCATCATCATCATCATCATCATCATTACCTTTTCTTCTTCTTCTCACTCTTCTCCTCCACTTTTTCTTCTTATCATCATCATCTTCTTCTTGTTCTTCTCTTTTTGATCTCCTCCTCCTCATCATCATCATTATTTTCTTCTTCTTCTTCTTCCCATCATCATTATCATCTTTTTCTTCTTCTTCTCCCTCTCCTCCCCCTCCTCTTCTTCTTCTCTTTTTGTTCTCTTTCTCCTCCTCCTTATCATCATCATTAACTTCTTCTCATCATCATCATCTTTATCTTTCCTTCTTCTTCTTCTTCTTCTTCTTCTTCTTCTTCTTCTTCTCACTCTCCTCCTCCTCTTTTTCTTCTTCTTATCATCATCATTATCATCACCATCGTCGTCGTCTTCTCTTTTTATTCTCCTCCTCCATCTCCTCCTCTTCCTCCTCCACGTCATCATTATCTTCTTCTTCTTCCCATCATCATCACCATCATCATTCACTTTATCTTCTTTTCTTTTACTTCTTCTTCTCCTCCTTCTCCTCCTTTTCTTCTTCTTAATTATTATATCACGTCCATGGTTCTCCACAATTTCCTTTCTCGTGCTGATCAAACTGATTTTCCATTTTCTCCCATGATCTGCCGTCCAGTCGCTCTTACTCATGTTTTACTTCCTTCAGCATGGTCCTGCGAGTGTTAACGTCTCCAAACCGTCTTTCCTCTCTAGACATCCGATAAATTTACACTGTCGCTTTCTGATGATATACATAAATATATTTTAGTTCCTACTTTTCTTAAAACTTTTCTAGACGCTCACGTACATTATTATGATCACCGGCTCTCAAACGATCACCGAAGTTAAGCAACGTCGTGTTTGGTCAGTACCTAGATGGGTGACCGCTTGTGAATACCAGATGTAATATGCTTGGACGTCCATGTGGTATGGCTTACGGCCATATCACGTTGAAACGCCGGTTCTCGTACGATCACCGAAGTTAAGCAACGTCGAGTTTGGTCAGTACCTAGATGGGTGACTCGTTGGGGATAACAGGTACTGTATGATCGAATGTGCAGGTGGTATGGCTTGAAAAACCGTTTATCGTAAGATCAACGAAGTTAAGCAACGTCGAGCCTGGTCAGTAACTAGATGGGTTACCGCTTGGGTAATATCAAGTGTTATAGGTTTGAATGTACGGGTGGATAATGACTCGGAAATCGGAGAGTCGTGTTCAAATTCCAGTTGGGTTCGTTATATTCGCTTAAGCGCAAATATCCTTGAGAAAGCTACGTATCCAGCTCTTTTCCTCATAGCTAAATCTGATTGAGGACAAAAAGGACAGAGGAAAAGAGCACATAACTATCCTAGTTAGTTTGAGTAAAATGGATGCTGGAGCAAGTTTTAAGAGAGATAGCGAAAAGACAAAATTTATTAAGAGTTACAAAGAACAGGAAATTGTGGAGAGCCATAATTACAACGTCCTTATTATGACAGAGCACAGAAGTCCCTTTATGTTCTCTATTACGTTCTTCTGTATTCGTATTACAGTTAAAAATAAATTTTCAATGTGATATCTCCATTAACGTTCTCTAAAAACAAGTCCGTATAGCGTTGATCAGTTTAGAATCGTAATCTCAGACGCTGACCGTAATAATACTATATTGATACATATATATCTAGGCTATGTTATTAACTGATCTCGAGTTGTTAGATATAGGTGCCTGATGTATGTATAAATGTTTACGAATGCCCCAAAGAGAGATGTAATTAGACACTGATGGATCTGAACGCTCTATCATGTTTACAAATAGAAAAAAGATTAAGGTAAATTCTACCCCCAAATTCCGGTCCCATGTCTTTAAATATTGACTGTTATTTAATCTTTACCCGCCATTGTTATTCGCTGCTGACTTTTGTGAAATCAACCAGGATGACATTTGGTAAACTCCGACCCAGTGTCATATACTTAGTAAGAACTTAACGAGAAGAACAGAAGCCAATCAAACCATCAAGCTTCCTCCCACGGGAAACGAAAGTGGGCGATATGAAAACGGCACACTTGTACTGACGCTATACGATCCGGAAAATGACTTTAACACAAGTTGTAAATAATGTCTAAATTGTTGTCGTAATTCCTCTTCTCAGGAGTTTGTGGCAGGCGTATCCACAACTGAAAAGAAAAAAGAAAGAAAAGTTTATTAGGTAAATAGGTGTTCCTCCAAGAATAATATCTCTCCGTCTATGTGTCGATCATGACTCTCCACAGCTTCCTATAATTTCTTTTTGCTATCAGCAAAATATTCTTTAATTTAGACCTTTGTAAGAGAGGCTCAAAATACGTGGGTTGTGTCTTCTTCGGGGAAGTCATGTGTACACTGAAGTATAAACCCGGACACTGATTACCGGTAGACTCAGGTAATATTTACATACAGAGTATCAACTTGACAAACATTGACGTATAGACTCAAGTATAAACCCAATCAGTGATTATAGATGGATTCAAGTATAACAACCGATCAATGTTTACCTATAGACTCAAGTATAAAGTCTCCCAATATTTACCTATGAACTAAAGTATTACACCGATCATTATATAGGCTCAAGTATAAAACATGATCATTATTTTCCGACGGATTCAAGTATAAAACATAAAATCTTTACTTATAGACTCAAGTATAAACTCTACCCATCTTTCCCTATAGATTTAAGTATAAATTCACCTGATTAATAATAATTTTCCGACTATATTACCGACAAACAAATAAAATTATTTTTATAAAAAATAAATGACACCAGTACTAAAATACAATACAACAAAAAGAATCAACATATGTTACTGTAACCAGATGTACAATAATTACAAACAAATCTAATTCACTATGCGATGAATTATTAAAAATAATATTTCAGTCGTAAATCCCGACAGGCGTGCAAATCTTATAATATATTACTGAATATGGAAAAACGAAAAAATATTAATAATAAAAAAAATTATAACAATTCATCAAACTCTCTTTGTCTTTCATATTCTATAAAAGTTGCTCCCCCAAATACACACACACACACACACACACACACACACACACAAACACACAAACACACAAAATGAAATCGACAAAGTCCGACAATTATTTTAAGACATTTTTTGTCTTTATACATTCTTTTTATAGATACAAATAGTTAAGCAAATGCGCTGTTTATAATAAACAGTTTAAACAACATTTACCGGCCTGAATGACGGTTCCGTATAGGATACAGGTTCGATTCCTGTCGGAGGACGAATATTTTCTATGACAATTGCTCGGACATTCAGGCCGGTAAATGTTGTTTAATACTGTTTATTATAAACAGAGCATTTACTTAAATATTTGTATCTATAAAAAAGAATGTATAAACATAAAAAATGTCTTAAAATAATTGTCGGACTTTGTCCATTTCATAATGTGTGACGTCATTTGTTTACATTTGGATACACTTTGAGCAAATATGAATGTACATGAGAGAATCATGGAACATTGTAGTTTAAAGACAGTAAAATCGACCTCCCTAACCGAACGCTCCTCTGTGGCCAAATCGGTTAAAGGCACGTCAGGCTATATGACGGTTCAGTGTAGGATACAGTTTCGATTCCTGTCGGAGGATGAATATTTTCTATGAAAATTTCTCGGTAAATGTTGTTTAATACTGTTTATTATAAACAGAGCATTTACTTAAATATTTCTATCTATAAAAAGAATGTATAAACATAAAAAAATTCTTTATATATATATATTGGTTAAGTCCTTTATTGTTTTACATGTAGTTGTGACAAATTTTATGTAGAGGTTAGATAAATTCTTTTAACATGTAGTTGTGATAAATGACTTAATAAATGCAAACAAAGCAACTAGCCTAAATGTGAAGGAGGGATTTACTCTATCGACTATTATGTTATAAAATCACTACAAAAATAGCCATTTTTTTTCTTTCTTCACTTGGTGTCCTATCAAGTGATGGTGTTGAATAATGGGTTTATTCTATATTCAACACCATCACTTGATAAGACACCAGAAGTGTTGAGACAAAATGTCTATTTTTGTAGTGATTTTATAACATATTTATGTTATAATTTTCGAATAAATAATTATATTAATATAAGCAGTATGGACATAGCTATTAACACTGGATGGTTACAGTTTATTTCATTCTTAAGAGCCATTATCATAAGCCGACAACTGCGTTTAAATTTGCTCATTACATTAAAATTACTTATTAAAACCATAAATTTATAATTGCATTCAAAATCATGTAAATTTCGAATACAGTATTGGATACTTGAAATATTCTGTGAAATGTACCCAGTTGTACCACGTGAAATACTCGCAGATGTATCTAGGGAGATGAACCTAGAGAATGTCGCACAAAAGAAAGAGTGAAGAAAAGACTAATGATCATTTGGAAAACGACAGAATGTTTGTGTGTCACCAGAAGGAACAGACCAAGATACGAACAACACATCGGAGATACAACATCAAATTCAGAGAGAAGAAACCGTTAGCATAGAACTTACGGTGACATTCGGACATTTCAATTGTAAAATGATGAGACATAACTGCCAATCTAGTACTGAGCTTAACTTCGTAAAGTCTAGGTATCAAAGAGCATAGCTCATCAGAACAATTGCCATGAAAACACTTATCTGATTAAGAAACTGTTAGCATAAAACATACGATCGCATCTAGCCATTTCGACTGTAAAATGATGAGATCTAACATCCAATCTAGAACTGCTCTTAAATTCATAAAGTCTAGGTACCAAAGAGGATAGCTCATCAAAACAATTACATGAACATAATTATCAGATTAAGAAACTGTTAGCATAGACTTAGTTACATCTAGCCATTTCAACTGTATAATGAGACCTAGTTGCCAATCTAGTACTGCATTTAAATTCATAAAGTTTAGGTACCAAAGAGGAAAGCTCATCAGAATAATTACCATGAACATACTTATAAGATTAAGAAACTGTTATCATAGAACTTATGGTTACATCTAGCTATTTCAATTGCAAAATGATGAGACCTTGCAGCCAATCTAGTACTGCACTTAACTTCGTAAAGTATTTCTACAAAAGTGGAAAGCTCATAAGAGCAATTACAATGAAATTATTTACAGAAAAGTCATAGGGTAGCCACGTTATGGCGGTAGGAAATTGACCGAGGCAGACATAGCAGGTTAGGACCAATAACTTTGGAGATTCGTCTTTGTATTTTATCAAGAATTTCTAAATACATAGCAAAAGTACCAAACCAGATGTGTCATAAATTTTCACATGAACGACTGGTAAACTTTACAGATATAAAATTGGTCACTGGTAAACTTAAATATGTAAGATAGATTCTGGCAAGAAAAAATTGTCTGGCACGACTCAGTGAACTAACTTTCCTAGAAGCAGACTTAACAATGGATTCAATATAACCTTGCTATTTTTTTTATAACTTTGCGATGTTCCTTCTTTGAACAACAGACATGAAAATCCGATGTATTTATGCTGCTTAAATTTTATTTTTCCTTAAATCTCAGAATTGTACTTTTAGTTCAGATTCAAAGATAAAGTTATACAGACAGATTACACGTTAAGTTTTAAGCTCATTACATTGAAATTCTATATAGATAAGCAGTATTGCGTAAAATATGTCGATAATACGAGAGAAGAATTTTATTCTTGACTCAGTATTCCTTTGTTCAGTTTTGTCTCAGTATTGTTCGTAGTTGTTGAGTGTTTCGATCATCTGTAAGCTTAATCAGCACACGGGACTGAACTATTGACACATCAAGGCCAGTAATGACACGACATCGTTACGCAGAGGGATCTCCAGACTAAAGACAACGGCCAGGGTGGAGGTTTCCCCAGAACGGAATCAACGGCCGAATGTCCGTGACTAAAGAAAGCCTTCAAGTCGGAGGACATTGGCTGTGCTCTGACCGGGAGAAGGGTGAACTTTGCCAGCCCTCCTTTGACTAAGACAAGCTGGGGATAAACAAATACCTACCGACACAGGTGGACGAATTTGGATAGGTGCC